GAATATCTTTTACATACCTACCCGTTTATCAACTTTTTGGAAATGATAAAAAGAAAGATACCCCTATTGTCACTCCAAAAAACGCTCCCTAATGAACTGGACACTCAATGGGTTTCTACCAACAAAGAAAAAAGTAATAATATAATAAGGAATTTTTAAATCGACTTGAAATTCTAGACAAGGAATCTCTTTCTCTGGATATACTCGAAACAAGGACTAGATTTTGTAATGATGATACTAAAAAAGAATGCGTGCCTAAAATGTATGATCCTTTGTTAAATGGACTATATTGAGGAACAATAAAAAGGGGGGGGGGGGGGTTTCATCTTCTATCATAAACGATACTTTGCTAGAAAATTGGAAAAAGAGAGTTAGACTAAATAAGATTCATACTATCTTTCTTCCGAATATTGATTACAAGAATTTGAACAAAAAGCGTATAAGATTGATAAAAAACCATTATCAACAGAAATTGACGAATTCTTAACTTTAATTAATGAATTAGGTAACGAAGCAAAATCGAGTTTAAATTTGAAGGGTCTTTCTTTATTTCAGACCAAGATCAGAGAAGAGCGGATTCAGAAAAAAGAACGAAATTTGTCAAATTTATATTCAATGCAATTGATCCTAATTTGACAAAATTGGGAAAAAATTGATTAGAATAAAAGAAATCGATAAAAAAAGTACCTCGTTGGTCCCATAAATTAATCACCGAATTGGACCAACAAATGGGTGAATTTCAAGATCGTGCATCAATGGATCATCAACTTCGTTCAAGAAAAACGAAACGTGTAGTTATTTTTACTGACAACAACGCGACTAAGGATCCTAAGGAGGAAGGGGTTTTAATCAGCTATTCGCAACAATCAGATTTTCGGTGAGATATAATTAAAGTCTCTATGCGGGCTCAAAGGCGCAAAACATTTGTTTTGAAACTATTTCAAGCAAATGTACATTCCCCCCTTTTTGTCGATAGAATAACCTCCCTACGATACATAGGCATCCCTCCTAAGTTTGATTAATCTTATTTTAAAAAAGAGTACTAGAATGTTTTATTTCCTTAATCAAAAAGAAAAAAATGTCTTTTTATTTCTTATTAAAATTATTTGTTTAAGAGGTTCACGAACTATGTGCACTTAGATTCTCACTTTGATAAAATATTAGAGATCCCTTCTCGGATTTAGTGATCCTTTTTTAAAATTTTTTTAAAAAGAACATTTTATTTCCTTTTCAAAAAAGAAAAAAAAGAGTTTCTACTTATTAATAAAAAACAAGTTTGCTTATGATCTTGGCAAACAATACATATTTGATTCTCATCTCAATAAGATATGTATGTATTCTTTCTCGAATTCAGTGATCCTTGTTGATACCCAATTTTGACCTTCCTCAATAGTAATTAACTAGCGAACTTCTCGACTTGAAATGGTTTAAAATAATTAATTTCATTTAAAACAATGAAAATAAATAATAATTAAAATTTTAGCTTGCAAGTTATTTTAAGTAAGGTTTTGACACTTTTTTTATATTGTTTTAACTAATGTATATGGCTCGCATAATTATTCTTATAATTATTATAATGTTATAAGTATTCGAAATTGAAAAAATAATAATCTTAGTAATACTTTATTTATATTAATATTTGGTTAATTATTTTAAGCTTATATTTTGAATCTTTAGTTTATATTCGAATTAATTATTTTATTAACCTTAAGAAGATTGTTAATTAATTATATTAATTCGTCTCTTTTTAAAATTGTAATCTAGTTGGCCAATTACAATTTGGCTAAATTGGTATATTCTGAAAGACACTTTTTTGGGCCATTAATTAGCCTATTTCCAATTGTTCAGCCCATTCTCTCCCATTCCAAACCTCTGCCCACTTATCAACAGCTACCCTAGCCCATCACTTTAACTCAAATCAGGGAAAAAGCATGACCCAATGTAATTCCCAACATAATTCCAGCCCATCAAAAAGCACTTTCAGCAGCAGCCCAACAATTTCAAATCCAACTCAATCGTGTTCTCTCTTCTTCACGCTAAAGAAGCAGCAAAAGAGAGGTAAAACTTTTTCGTCAGCTTTCTAAACATCCCTTTCATTCGTATGGTCACAGTTGCACTAGAGACACGCGAGAATCGTCCTTGAGATGACGAGATTGCTCCACGTCGCCCTCACAAGGACTGGTGAGTCAATCTCAAGCATTGATCGCACCTTTCATTCTCTAGGACTGAGTTGAATTTTCAGAAAAGGTGTTCTGTCCAAAATTGGTGAAGATTTTGATTTCAAATTTTGAATTCATGGGCCTTGAATCCAATTTTTCATCCATCCCCTCCCCCCCAATTTATCAAAACCCTAATTAATATATATATATATTCTTTACTGTTCCTTTAAGAAGCGGGGAGAAAATTTTTTTACTGAAGATTATTCTTAAACAAAGAACACTTATATCAGTTGAAGAAAATAGGCAAGAATATACACAGAAAACACGTCTTATCTCTATTCAGGTTAAAGATAGTTCTTACTATCCTCGATCATCGTTCGAATTCAAGTCGCGAAGTGGAGACAAGTCCCCCTATGCTCGCCTTATCCCTAGTTCGCTGCCCGAAAAAGGTAACATCTTCCCTTTGGATATTTTTCTTGGCTTTGTTGCTTTAATGTGATACTGTTATTGTGTTGGTCGATGTCGTCGAGTTTGGTAGTTTAAACGTGATATATGACTGCCCTTGATCGATTTTTCTATTTTTTATATCTCGTTTGGATCAAGCATCATGGGAAAATTTCAGATGTTACATGTGGTTGGTTTTGTGTTTATGTAGTTGGCTGAGTCATTAGTTAAGCATGTTAGCATCATCATTGATCCCTTATTTTAGTTGGTAACGGAGTATTCTTTTCTTTATAATATAAGGTTTATGCTGGGATTATTTTGGCTGTCCGTGTCCTAAAAATTGTATTTCTCAGTTTCTTCGACTCTATCAATTACGTCTACCTAAAATCTAAGCTTATTGGTCGTTTGAGTTCTTAGTCGATAAAATCATTTTCATTGTCTTGTTATGATCCGTAGGCGCTAAAGATTTGCTCTATTGTGTTGTGCATATTATATGGTTTAATTAATTTTTTTCTTTTTCTTGTCCACGTTGCTGGAATAGTTCTTCCAAACACCCTTTGGTATGAAGGTTTCCTTTCCTAGATAGAATTTGTAGTTCTTAAGCCGTCTGGAGTTTCCGCCTTTACAAGATTTAGTTCGTAGGTGTTCTCTCTAGTTGCATGCTTTTGTCTCAAATGATTTTGTATGGCAATATGTTAAGTTGGAATCGGCATAAGTGATACTCTCTAATGGGAAAATAAGCTTACTTTCCTCTCTTTGTTGTTTATATGTTGTGTATTTTAATAATGGGCAGTAAATGTCTTTTCTTGGCAAAAACATTTGGCTAAAGTTTTCACCCAGGAACAAGTGACATGCTTCCCCTTTTTTTCAAATTTTTATCACTTTATCACTAATATTCAATAGTTTAAATGGCTACCGTTCACCTATTGCTTTGTTGTTTTTTGAATTTTTTTTCTTTGAAGATTGACATGGTTAAACCCATGTTTTTATGATTTCCATCACTCCTTTTAGTGTTATATTACAAGTTCTTATCAATTAATGTCAATTGAACCCTGTTTTAAGTTGAGATTTGATTAACAAATTTTGTTGGTTATTTCCTTTATTTTGGCATTTCGAGTAGCTGCTAATTCTTGTTCATTTGTTCCTTTTCATGTGAAATCTCCTCCGAATCCTCACGGGTTATATCTCTTCTCCTCGCGTTTGCCTATTGGGCCATAAAGGCCCAACACTCTTGCTTATCGAGTCGTCCAGTCTCCTGAAAAATGTTGTACAGATTGAGAGCAGTAGCATATTGCTGGAACATTAATTTCCCATCCCCGAAAAGTCAAAAAGTAGACTGATATATCATCTGTATACATTGGTATACAATAGGAATATATGGTATACAGTGTAAAAAACGTTCCAATACAGGAAAAACGCATAAATACAAAGATCTGGATGAAATTACAAGTTTGGGAGCTCGGGAACTATTGACATACATGACGTATACATAGGATATACACTCAATGTATGTCATGGAGGATGAAAATGGAAAGGGGCCAAAATCCCAAGGAATAATTCAGCAGGGCCTAATTGGTTCCTAAGTGGGCAAGACCTATTTTTGGTCATTATTCTTAGAAATAGGACAGGTGGACAAAATCCCAACTAGTAGAATTTGGGCAAAATTGGCCCAAGTTCAAATGTTTCCTTTCTCTATCTTATGTTGACTAACACCTTTGATTATGATTTAATTAATTCCCAAATGATAGTCTCCTCTTTCTTTATCTTTATATACATATACTTTGAATTTATTTATATACATATACATATACATACATATATATATATATATATATATATATATATATATATATATATATATATATTAACGCTTTTATTACAACTAAATAATAAGATAGATAAAAATATTAAAGAAAAGGTAGAAAGTAAGAACATAGATACAACTGGAATAGAAGAATTAATAGAAAAATTAAATAAAATAGAAATTACTCCTCAAAAAGAAAAAATAATTAAAAAACAGAAAAAATGGACATTTTTCCAACTAGATCAAGAGAAGAAAGACCAAGATCAAGTTACTCCAGGAATATGATAAGTAATAATTTTTTATCAAGAATATTAAATAAAAAGACAAAAGAAGAAAATAATCAACAACTAGAAGAAATAATAGATGCAGATAAAGATACACAAATCTTTCAACAAAATCAATTAAATTTATTAAATCCAAAAGTTCTATATAATACAAACTCAAAATCTCAACTATATAGACATTATAGAGAAGAACAATTATCAGTACTAGGGAAAACTTCTGTATCTCTACCACTTATAAACTCTGAATCTGTAAAAGAAATAAGACATGTTAAAAAAGATTTAATGCATTTAGGATTAATTGTAATAGGA